CTAGGCAATAGCAAAGCATGATATTCTCCGCAACACAGCTAATGATGGATTTAGCTGTCAGTTAGCACTTACAAAATATGCCTGCTCTACTTAGAAGTAACCTTAGTATTTAATAATGACTTGTAGAGCTATAACTGAATCTTCTTCCTTGCAAACCTAAGCCTCCCAACAGAGATTTCATAGTTCTGATTAAATTCCTAGATATGAAACACACAAGAGATCTAGCCACTTAAATACATTGCAAAAACGACTTTTTGCCAATTCTATTTTGATTTATTTAATTTTATACATTTTTAAATGGTTTTCTAAATACTTTTTGAATACTAATTCAACATTTTTGTTTTTCTAATAACAATTTAAAGTAGATGTAAAACCTAATTTTATCCATAGTTGCATCTTGGTACTGCTGATCTCTGACAGTCTTTCTGTAGCCATGTTGGGTTAACAGGTACAGTACATGCTCCAGCGATGGCTGCATGGCATGGCTTGCTGATGGTGGACCATGCCTATGGGTAGCCTATGTGACAGGTGACAACACAGGAGCACATATAAGATAAAATAACATAGGGTTATCTACCTATAACATGATGTGCGTGAAGAAGGACCTTCATAGCAGGATCACCAGGTATTTTTTATGAAAAGGCGCTGCTTGTGAGCAGAACAATATCAAGAAATGACGGTATGCTACCAAACACTCATAATAGTGTTGGTTATAGTACTAGGGGATGTGAATGATTTTCCTTTCAATATTTTTTATTTTGTTTTCAAAACATAACTTAACAAGCTACAGATTCATCCACTCAGGGGCTATGAAATTGTCCAAAACAAAGAAATATTTAATTCAAGGTTCCCAGATTTTGAGAACCTTGGAGTGGGCATCCTTTAAAAAGCTAGACAACTGTTCATTAATAATTGGCAGTCATGCGGTCTTTCACTCCTTGAAATGAGAAAATAATTTTCTTCCAGTCCTGAATAATAGTCTGCTTAGCCGACAAAAATAAATAGGAAGCCAGTTTCTGGTCAAATAAGAGGCCCAAGATAGGGCCATGCAGTAGAACTAACTTGGCTTTCTTGCAAATCACCAAGTGAAATAGAGTATGTAATAGATTGAAGGTTCTGGACCAGAAACCTTTCAACTGTGGACACGACCACCAAATATGAAGGTCATCCTCTTGCTATCAACCCTATTGCTATATCTAGGGTTTGCATGAGCTATCCTGGCAGGAATCCAGTACCACTGCATGAGCACTTTGTATGCAGGGTTGCAGTGTTAAAGGAACATTTTGCAATAAACAACCAGGCACTACTCCAGTCCTCTGGATCTATACAAATCATCAGGTCTTGCTCCCATTGTGTCATGGACAAGAAGGGTGCTGATGGGCATTTGGTTGTTCAAAGAGGGATAGAAAGCTGAAATAAGGCCAGGGGACCCCGGGGGAGTGTTGACAAATATGTTCAAAACTCACTTTGCAGAAAGGGCATGTCGGGGTGCAATGAAGAAATTATATCCAGTGCTGAAGTTGCAAATACCAAACAAATTCCAACAATGAGTCCTCGTGAGCTTCCTAAAGGGCAGTCCTGGTTGGGAAAGTGGATAAGAAATGTTGTGCCTGCATAAAGCCATGAGAGGTTCACCAGGAGAGCATCTGGTACTGTTCCATTTCTAGAAGAAATAAAGGCTTATTAATAATTCCTAAAAGAGGTAGAAAGGAGGACATAAGTTTACCTGAACACCGAACAGAATCCCATGTTTTCAAGCTGTGTAACATTTAAGGTCTCAAAGTTGATCATTTGTGTGGAAGCAAAAGTAAGCCAAAGTAAGGCATGTATGGAGAACGGTTCACAATCCATACATTCTAAGAGCACCCATAACAGAATATCAGAAGTAGCATGAAGCATAGACAATTGTGAAATTTGGGCCAGTAAATAGTATTTTGTCATGTTGGGATACCCCCAGACCACCCTGCAATCTATACATATAGATGGTGGATCTGGGAACTCTGGAGTATTTGTGGATCCAAATAAAATGTAGGATTTTGTTCTGCAAAAAGAGGAACCTGAATGGGCAAGGTTCAAAAGTAGTAGAGTACTTTAGGCAAGATCATTATTTTAATCACATTAATGCAACCTATCCAGAGAGACAAGGGTATTGCCATGATTGCATGGAAGAAGTCAAGGAGTGTAATTGGGGACAATAGTTAGCCCTGAATAAGTTGCTTAATCCCTAAGTATTCAAGAGAAGAAATCAGCCAACAATAAAGAAAGTGTGTTTGAAGCCACAAAACCAAATTGGCCAGAAGGGTAATTTTCAAAGCTGTTGTTTTGGTGGGATTAATGCAAAGTTTTGGTATATCTGCCAATTGCTGTTTTAATAATTGGATTTACACATAGTATAAGCACTAAGGGAACCTTTTGTAACAAAATCATGAAACCCAAAATGTCAATCTAGCCACTTGCCGCCCAGCCACCGCATATAAACGGCGGCAGGGTGGCGCTCGTAGGCAAAAGCACGTTTTAAAACGGCTGCCTTCAAAATAGGTAGCGCGCGCCCGCCCTACCTGTCCCGCGGGTGTCAGCAGCGGGTCTCCCGCCGCCGGGTCACGACCGGTTTTTACCAGCCGTTTTCCCGCGAAGAGCGGTGATCACTGACACAGAGCAGGGCTGCATTGTTTACACACAGCCCTGCTCTGTGACAGTTCACCGACAAGCTGCAGAGGGAGAGAAGAGTTTCTCTCCCTCGATCAGCTCCCCCCGTCCAGTACACACCCCCGCCCCCTAGTAAAACACTCCCCTTACACAGCAAATTCTAAAAATGTTAACCCTTTCCTCCTCAGTGACATTAGTACAGTTTCAGTGGTTTTTTTTCACTGATCACTGTATTGGTGTCACTGGGGATGTCAGTGACCCCAAGTCAGTTCCCCCCCCAGTGTCAAAATTTCCGCCGCAGTCCTGCAGTCCCGCCATAAGTCGCTGGTCGCCGTCATATGTCGCTGATTGCCGCCATATGTCGCCATATGTACCGTATTGCATGACTGCGCAATTGTCCGTTAAACTAGCGCAGCGCTGTATAGCAGAAAAATGGCGTAAATTGCAGTATTTATACCATAGATTGTAGACGCTATAACTTTCACACAAAGCAATCAATATACACTTATTGGGATTTTTTACCAAAAACATGTAGCAGAATACCTTTTGGCCTAAATTTATAACCAACTTTGAGTTTACTATATATTTTTTATAGCTGAAAGTAAAAAATATTGTTTTTCTTCAAAATTTTTGGCCTTTTTTTGTTTATAGCGTGAAAAATAAAAAGCGCACAGGTGATCAAATTACACCGAAAGAAAGCTCTATTTGTGTGAAAAAAAGGACGTAAATTTTGTTTGGGTGCAGCATTGCATGACCGCGCAATTATCAGTTGAATTAGTGCAGCACCGAGTAGCAAAAAGAGGCCTGGTCATTAAGGGGGGTAAATCCTCAGGAGCTCAAGTGGCTAGTTATAATTAATCAAATTCATAATATCAACAATAATATTTAGCTGCATTTATATGTTACCTTCTTCTCGATTACTGCACCTTCTGATTTTCCTAGTCTTTCAATATACCCAGAAAATCCATCTATGCTGCCTTTTAAAAAGCATCCTAACAACTCAATGCACAGACTACTATTCCCAGGGCACCTAGCTCCAGGGGGAACCCAAAACAAGTGTGCTTTCCTTCATTTAGAAAAGCATCATCTAGCCACAAACCAATGAACTGCAGCACAAGGGATCTCCTACACTAACCACTACACTAAACATTTATAGTGTGGTAGCAGAGAAGAAAATGAATACATTTAGTATCAGATGGTGTCCTGCTGCACCCAGACAGTGTTTATATTTGCCAGCACACCACAGATCTTCAGATAAAGTCCAAATGCTTTTTTTTTATTGACGAATGATCACATTTCAAGGGAGAAGTGCAATGTTTCAAAGAAACGCAGGACCCCATCATCAGGCATGTGATTTGTGCATACTATTGTGCAAATATATTTAAATAAACAGCCATCAATCAGAAACAAGGAAAAAGAGCACCCTCCCTGCCCTCTGATGTGGTTTGACATTGTAGATCCTGCCAAAATGTTCTAGTAAGCATAAACAACATAATAGGTAATTTTCCATATTAGCAGAGGCAGGGCCATCTTTAATAATGATTAGACCCTGGGAAAACATTTTCATGGGCCCCAAATGCAATTTTGCTCTCCACCTGCAGTTGCAACCAGGACATTCAAGCTTGCCCCTGTTTACCTCCCCAGTGGGCAGCATTTAGCAGAGGTGATGGTGGCTGGAACCTCAGGGGAGCATAATATACATATGAATGCCCCTGATAATTACAAATGAATGCCCCTCACTCTCTACATATCAATGCCGCTAGCTGGCCTTTTTTTACATGTGAATAATGACATGGTCTGCATGTTAGTCATGGCAATAGGGCAGAGCTGGGCAGCATAAATGACAGCACTTCACACTGAGATATCATGGCACAGTGAGGGAAGAAGACTTCAAGGGACAAGGGAATGTAAACTGGGACAGCTGGAAAGTATGGGGTAACTGCTTTGGGCCCCACAACAATGACAGCGATGAGCAGAGGATTGCCAACAATAAAATTTGCAGTATGAACCCACAGTAACATTACTCAGGGACATAGCATTGGTGCATGTATCAAGGATATGAAGTAATTTCAGTCAGTCACAGCAAGGAGCGCCAGCAGAGCCTTTGCATTCTGATGGGTCATTTCTTAGCAACTCAGAACGCTGGCTGGCAGAGCCACCGATGCCATGTGGACACATGTAGTAGGACACTCTGCCCAGAATCTCCCAGAGAACTGGCTGTTACAGATTTCATAATTGTAACATTTGCAACTCACTCATATGTGGGAAATATTTTTTTGCATGCACATAGATGCCTGCTGTAACACTGAATTTTGAACTTATATTCTAAAATGTCCTTGAGACAAAGGACTGACCATGGGCGGACTGACCATTTGGAAACTCGGGCACTGCTGACGGCCCGGGGTCAGTAGGGGGCCCCATGAGATGCCCCTGGTACCTTTTTCATAGGCTTTTTTGAGTTTGGGCAAGGACACAGGGGCCCCATGATCCCTATTGCCCGGGGGTCGCATGAGTTGTCAGTCCGCCCCTGGGACTGACATTAGGGTGGTCCTATCAAAGGTAGGGAAGGGTGAACAAATTGACCTATATAAGCCTGTTTCAGTGCACTTTTGTCATGCACAAACATCAGACTTACAAGATTAGGGGCATGGTGATTGAACACATCAAGTGACCCTCTAGAGGCACTGATTTATCATTTACATGCCTCCTTGATGACAGCTGATTCTATTTGCCTTGGCCCGCTATCATGATTGGTTTTGATGCATCAAGACTTACTATGTTTTTCCTTATCTTTTGCCTCCTATGTGTCTATGGTCCTATATTTAGGTTTTTTGAAGCAACCAGTGGGATAATGTACTGTGGCGGTGACACCAAGAGCCAAGTTAAGATGCTTTGTCTCTCCTAGATAGGTTTTGGGCCACATTACAAACATAAATAGTTGCTGCGCTGCCTCCATTAAGGAATACATAAATACAAACATGACAATGTACCATCAAATTAAGCATACAGTGCATTTGTATGCACAAAATACTAAAAAAGTCCCAGTCAATGTGCAAACATTTGAAAGTTCCAATGTGAAAAAATATCCTCATCCGCAACCAATGTGAAAACTAGGTGATATAATGGTTAATCTTGTTATCCATGAAAATCCTGCATGTTAAGTGCTCCAATTAGTGCTCCCCCTCCAGAGCCCCACTCACCAATGTAAGTGCAATGGTAGGTCAGATAGCGCATTTGATGTTACAGCCCTCTCCTGCAGCAAATTAGCCATCTATGTGATCTTGATGCCCCTACCTGCTGGTTACAGACTCCATATGTGAAAGCACCTCCAGATTAGTCACTTGTGAAAACTCCTCCAGAACATCCACAGTATTCCTTCACCACCGTAAAACATCAAAGGAAGACTTCCATAGAGTAACACCATTTTTAATTAGTAAAAACACTTAAAAATACACTTGCACAAAAAACATGTCTATGGCACTTTAAATCCCAGAATGCAGCAATTCCTTCTCAAAGGACAAGAGTAGCGCTGTCAGGCCCATCCTACGCATTTCGTCATATGATGTCACCAGGAGCGTGGTTTGATGCTACATTGTCACGTTTGTATTTACTTATTCCTTAGCACATTTGCTGTTTTAGTATGCAGAGTATATATATTGTTTTCCCAATCTATGGATGTATTAAGTCATTGGGCAGGAGGGATACGCTTTTTTTGTTAGCCCATAGGGCATTGAGGCACACGCACATTTGTGGGGCACCCACACTTAAGTAGGGAGCTATATTCACTTAATAGAGGCAGCACAGCAACTATTTATGTTTGTATTTACACAATTGTTCACCATTACACATTTGTGGTTTTGCTAGCAGCAGCCAGTCTAATTAATTAGTCCTCTGCTCAGGCTACACTTATACATTTGGGCCACATTAGCTGCATCCTTTCATTAATTTGGATTTTTGTACTTTTTGGTAACCCCACGCTTCTCATTTTGTCCATGTCAAGTGTAAATAACTATTTTACCTTTTCCTTTCCCATCTCCTTTTCTTTGCTTTATTTTGTTGTTCTGTCTTGGTTCTTTCCCTTCACTTTGGTTTTACCTATTTATGGTCTTCCTTTCCAGCTCCCCGCTTTTCTTCTCCCTTCCTATCTATAGGTGCTTTATTGCCGTCTCTCCTCCCTTTCTCTTGTGTCCCTTCTTTCTTCCTTTCCTGCCTTTTCCCCCTCCGCTCCCTTTTTCCATTACCCCTTCTTTATTCCCCCTCTATTTCTCTTCTAGGTTTCTTTTCTTTGTTCTCACTGTACTTCATTTATTTTTTTATTTTTTTAAGTTTCATTTAGTTCCCAGTTGCTTCCACTTTGTTATAATACTACTAACAGTTGACCGTGAAATATTTAGTAGCAAGGAAATTTCATGGATGGACTTATTGCACAGGTGACAACCTATCACGGTACCACACTTGAATTCACTGAACTCCTGAGAGTGACCCATTCTTTCACAAATGTTTGCAGAAGCAGCTGGCATGCCTAGGTGCTTGATTTTATACAATTGTGTCCATGGAACACCTGAATTCAATAATTTGGAGGGGAGTCCCAAAACATTTGGCAATATAGTATATATTATATACATATTGCACATTTTGTTTGTTTTATAAGCACTGTGATTATCTTAATTAGGAGAAGCTGACATTCCACAATATTGTTTTTAGTTTTGGCCGGGTTCCTGAACTGTATTAGATTCACATTCAGAGTATTGCTGCTGATAGTGATTGGATTTTTTCACCATTAAAAAGCTTTTCAGTTTTTAGTCTATGATTGAAAAAGTTCTATTATTGTAACTATTCACAGTTTATGGAAGAGGGTTGTTAGATAAGTGGTATTTTGTTTTTCATTTAGCAGCTCGCAAGGTTGGCACATTTTGTTAGTTTGATTTAGGTCTTATATTCTGAATTTAGCTTATATAAGAGAAAGGCATACAGCAAACTTTTTTCGTAAATCATTTGCAAAGTTATTTTAGCAAGTTTTAGGCATGAAAACATCCTTCAACTCCAGCTTGGAGATGTTAAGCACATATTTCTATGGAAATGCTATAATTTTAAACAAGCTGTTTAAAATCAATATTCCCCTTTTATGCCACAATACATATTACTCTTATCCATTTGGTCTTACATGCATATCAAGTTTTAGATTTATATGAAATTTATGTTTTCTGGTTGAATTTGCATGTTCGTGTCATGAAGGTTTTTTACTCATATTTGTTTAACCTTCGTTTTTTATATGTGGCACGTACAGAATTATATGATTATTTTTAAATAGTTTTTTTTATTATGGCTTATTATAGCAGTTTATCCATAAATTTTGTAAAAATCTCCCTTTTACCATGGACCCTTTTTGATGTATGTGTTCATATAATTTTTTAGCTTGTTATATATTTTTGGCTTTTTATTATATTTACATTTAAATTTTTTCTATTATATACAGGTGCTTTAATATTTATATAAATCATCTAATCAAATTCTAATATTATTAAAGTGGTTCTTAACCTTTTTACTTACCATTTGATTTACATTACCCTTTTGATCCATGACATATTAATATTATGTCACCCCATTTTATTATATGCATTTTATCAATATATTTATTGATTATTCATATCTGGGGTAATTCTTAGTCTGTTTTTATTTTTGGATGAGATGCCATTCATCTTCCAAAAATTACACACTTACCATTCTTACATATTAACGCACCTTAGTAGTTTTATTTTACAACCGGGTACTTAGCAATACACGTTTTATCTACTTCCCATCCATGGTAAAATGGCTTCGCGCAAGCGCACAGAGTACTATCACCCTCAGACCTTCGGACAAGATGGAGCTGACTCAGTACGCATGCGCCATCTATTGTATAAATTGCCGGCTTCATGATCATGGCGTCACCTAGTCTGAAGAAGTGCGTGCGCACGAAACGCGTTAGAGGGAGCCTATTACGTCGTGACGTCACGCCGCCGGTGCCACATGGAGGCCTGGCGGCCATCTCAGTTCCTGGATGGTCAGTCTGTTTGCATACCTGACGCTGCTGTAATTGCTTATTTGTTTTACACAGAATCTCTTTGTGATTTATTACATTCTGGCATAAATTACTACGCTATGGGCACTCTCCTTGGTCTCCCTTGAGGAGGTATATTATTTATAGAGCCCTGCTGCGATCCAGTTTCCGGTCCACCGTATCCAGAGAGGGAAGCACCTGTAAGCAGGCATCTCTACCCACCTATCCCTTAAAGGGACCTCTGGCCAGCTGGATCTACTCACATCCTCTGAGGGCTCATATCCTTATTACCTGGAGGGAGAATCACCTTGTGTTCCAGTCCAGACCTATACCTGTGAAGGGGATTCCTGTTGATATACACACTATGTAATTTAATTACGCTTCTGGTGAGTGCGTAATTCTTACCTTACTACTGGGAGCACCACCACTGGATTGAAGTCATATTTCATGATATTTCCATCATATAGGCTGTCACTTATTTACCGTTTTTGATATTGGGGACATTTATCATACCTTGCTCCATTTGATTTGTTGATTAGCGCTGCACATATTTTAAATGTTTATAATGAGGTTTCTTTTGGTTTCCTTGGGTGTTCAGCTGCTTACCATAAGAGCTTTTATTGCTATTTTTATCCAATTATTTTGAGGGGGTTGTGCCAAGTCAAGGGATTTGGGGGGTGTCACGTACCTGATGGGAGACTGAATTGACGAGGTCGGCCTCACTTGTGTCACTAGCTCTGACCCCGCTGAGGTTGGAACAGAGGGAGTCTAGGGACCAGGGGGACAAGAGTGCCAGTGGTTGTTGCTTGCGGCACTTGCAGGTGGTGACCTTGGTAGGCAGAGTATCTTCTGATTTGGGCACCGTAATAGTAGACAGAGCAGGTTCTGTGTAGGACCCGATGTGCAGCAGAGCAAGGTAGGTAGCCAGGACACAGGACAGGAGCAGGGTCATAGGATAGCCAGGGTCATCAACAGTCGGGCAGCGCGATACAGAATCAGAAGGAAAAGCCAAAGTCAGGAGCAGAGCCGAAGTCAGGAACCAGGAGCAGGAGAGTAATCGAGTCGGGTCAGGAACAAGCCGAGTCAGCAACAAAGGAATCGTACAGGTGTAAGCAGGACACAGGGGGGAGCTGAAGACCAGTCAGCACTGAGCCTGAGCAGAGGCCCTCCTTAAATAGCCCATCTGGTGCCAATCTTTGCCATGCGTGTGCACGTGTGCGTGCACGTGCGCGATCGGGCATTCCTGCGCGCCTGCGCACAACCGGCAATTCTTCTGAGGGATCTCTTTCACGCATGCGCGTTCCCGAACGCGAATCTTCTTGCCAGAAATCCCTTACAGGGGGATTTTTTACTAGGAGGAGGGATTTGGGGGGAATTGTACTAGGAAGGGGGATTTGGAGGTGAGGGATTGCACTATGAGGGAGGATTTGGGGGGAGAGGATTTGTGCTGGGATTTGGGGGGAAGCATTTACACTAGGAGTGGGGATTTGGGGGAGGGGATTTGTGAAAAGAGGGGGGATTTGGAGGAGAGGATTTGTGAAAAGAGGAAGGATTTGGAGGAGAGGATTTGTGCTAGGTTGATGGGTTTAG